AATAATAAAGAAGTAATCCCACTCGAAGCAACATTTAATACAATTTTAGATTTACATCTAACTACGGCAAATAATGTTTTCCAAAGATAGGTTTTACCTGTTCCACCATAATCGTATACAAAGAAAACACCTCCTCTATTTTTACGAATTGCAGTCATGATGTCATCAAAAATGCTTCGTTGCTCATGTGTTAATGCAACGGAAGGCTGATCAAACTCGTTCTTTAAATCTGATATGTCATAATCTAGCTCCTTAGTGTTGAGACGATTGTTTGAAGAAGATACAAAATCAGCATCAGGAAAAGGCATCCTTGTATAATCTTTGAGAGTTGAATTGTTACGGAGTAAATTTTGTTCAATCTCAAACAAAGTCAGGTTCTTAATTTGATCTTCATTAAGTGATAAACCTCTAACGAAAATGGTATAATAATTAGAATAAATTTAAAAATACATTTTCTTATATTATAAACTAATATATATGGTAAAACAAAAATGCGTATTTTAAAATAAATAGACAATAATATAATACCTAGAGACTTTAATCTTTGTTGTTGAGTGTAAAGAATTCCCACAGACAAGTATTCCCATGTATTTTCTCACACGACATCCGGTGTAGACAAACTTTTAGATAATAACATCGTAGCGAATAAGAACTGTAGATAATAAGCAGATCCAGAATGACTTGCTTCCTTAATGACTTCGATGTATTCTTTCTCGTCATCTAAGAGCCTAAGGCATAACATGCATCTCTAAAGGAAGGACATATTTCACCATTAACAGTCTGAATATCTTCAAACGATGTGGTCCTTTCACTTTGTTTAAAATAATTCTTAGGAAATATGCTTCGTCAAGATTAAGTGACACTTAATGAATTCTGCCAATCGAATATCCACCCTCCCTTGGCTTCCAAGTATTCAAATTACATTTAAAAACAAACTTTGTTGGAAATTCAACATAAGTAAGATCTGTTGCTTGTTTGTAAACTTGATTACACTCCATCGAAGATGTGAACATAGAAGAAGCAACTGAAGGATTCTTAAGAACATCGTCGATGTCATCATCTGCACTGTATACAAGTTGTTGTTGATCGGGAAGATGAAAAGGAAGCCTCATCACCGAAGGAGACATGTAATGAACATCATATCCATAAATTCGCCAAGATGCTACACATGCAAATAGATATCTACAATCATAATATTCTTTTATCTCATCCACTGCATCATTGTTATCACACTCATTGTTGTTTTGTACAACAACAACAATAGCTCTATCAGGACCTTTGTTAATATATTTGAATAAATACCTGATGGAAAAACAATGATTGCACCATTCAACATTTATGTGTGCTTGGTACCTTTCCAGAAGATATTTGTTATATGGGACAACATTTCTATTATCTAACTGGACATCAGATTTTTCGGCAAAAGATCCATCGGTTTTTCTCCTATATATAGGAAAACCATCCTTATCAATTGAAGTATGTTTAGAGAAATTCTTTGGAAAGTTTTTAGAACATTTGTTATCCACCATGCAAGGGCAGTTGACATTTTGAGCTCCATAAGGACCATGGATCATGAATTCCTTGACAAGTGAATACAAAACGGGATCTTCATTGACGCTGGGACAGAGGCGGAACCAACATGTTGGTAGGGGTAGCACGTGCTACCCCTCATTTACTACTTACATGTAACAAAAATTTAAAATTTTAAGATATATATCCATATGTATATTGGACGTTGGACGGTGAAATTTATTGTGATTCAATATCCTAAACTAAAAGTCCAATTAAAATGAAAATAGCCCACTAAATGAAACAAATGGCCCAGTAAATGAAAGTGGAGTGTGTCCAAACGTCAACAACATAGCAATTTCAGCATAAAAGGAAAAAAATACATGGGTTTTCTATTTTTCTTTCTCTGCCTTTAAGACAACTTGCGACAACACAATGACAACTTGGCACGGCTTGATGAATTTAGATTTAAATCTTGAATTTTAAATCTTTAATTATGTTTACAGAGACCTTTTCATTAAATAATTATCTTTTCTTCGGGAACATAACGAAAGCATTAATGTTATTTTAGAAAATGCTCCCAAAAATGAAAATTTAACGTTTTTGAAAATTCAAAAAAATATTTGTTGAATGCTTTTCAACAGAGATAATCAAGTCCATTTGTGAAGAAATTGATGTAATAATGGGTTTGTTGTATTAGCAGACGAATCTTGTGAAATCTTAATTTAAAAAAAAATATATCTTATTATTTTTTATCCAGATTTTTTTGTGCTACCCCTAGCAAAAGTTTCTGGTTCCGCCGCTGTGCTGGGAATCTCAGCTGAAATAAATTGATGAATGTGTTCGGCGGTAAGAAGCTTGTATTCAGGTTGCATAAATAGACAGATATGACTATGAGACAAACCGCGCTTTTGAAATTCAATTGTATAGACAATTGCATTAATATAAAAAAAGAAATAAGTAATTTAAATTAGCGAAAAAAATAATGTAATAAATATAACAACTGTTTAAAAAAAACATAACATTAATATATAATATGGTTGATATGAAAATTTAATGTTAAATACCTACTTGAACCATGCCGAGAATTGCATTCTCTCTTAGGTCTTTAATCAATGCATCAAGCTTTATCTTAAACAACCTACATAGGATATCAGGTTTATCCTCTGGATTAAGCGTAGTGTCTTCGAGAAATCTATGAACTTTAGGCCATTTTGGATTGTAAGTAAAGGTTATGAAGAAATCAGGATATCCAAACCACTTACACAACGACATGGCGTCTAAGTAGTTTTGCATCATGTAACGTGCACCACCAGTAAAAGAAGAATGTAATATAACTCGTTGGCCAAATTCCGAAATATCTTTGGTCCCTTGATTCTGAAATTTACACAGATTCTCATAAGATTCACATTGAAGAACTTTTTGTTGTTTCCGTATGTAATATAACCTTTCACTTTCAATCATTGTATAACCATCTACCAAAAACTACTGGAAAATCCTTTTTGAATTCAAAATCAATGAGAAATAATTATCCCTTTCTTGAATTCTGTAAGAGAAATATTCTCTCATTGTTGTGTTTGAACGCTTGATATCGCTCGTAGACGTAACACCTCTATGAAGGATGTCAAACCTATAACAATCGTCGCCATATGGAAATAGTAGAGGATACTGTAGAGGAAGGTAAGAAGGATGCAATTCACTGATACGTCGTAGAGCTTTAGATGAAGTTTGTACAACAATGTCTCTGTTATCAGTTAAATCATTAATGTCTCCTTCAATTAAAGCGACGACCTCAAAAGCAGTTGGTAGGTTATATATCCTTCCATCTTGTTGCCTTTTACCAATAATTCTTAACTTTAGGTCAACATGAGGATCTGCATTAAAAACATCTCTAACCATCCTTTAGCACTTAACCAGCTCGTTATTTGAATCCAACATAATCTTCAAATATTCTATAATTTGAAGATCAATCGAAACATTGGATGATGAAGATGCATGCTTTGCTCCATTGACAATAAAATCAATTAAACATACATATGATTATTAAAATGATAATATCAAGTAATAGTAAAAGTTAATATATACTTGAAACATTTCTGTCTATTTAAGGTTTCATTTTCAGTATCGTATATGTACAACTGCGAAAATCTTGGTTGACATCCATTTGCAGGTAGAAGGCTTCCAATACTATGATAATTTTGACCGCTAAGCCTGAATACGTAAGATGCGTTTTCTCTATTAATGGATGAATCAACTTTCCCACCCATCGATGTAAATGAAAACATTGAATTGCAACGACGAATGTTTTTCAGTGGTTAGTGGAGTCCTACAATCGATATTTGAAGGAGATTGGAAACTTGGAGCGTTATATTGAAAAATGTTTTGATAATTTATATTTTGACGATGATTGAAGACATCAGCTACATACAATTATAAATGTAGTTAATTATATATATATATATATCTATATATATATATATAGCTATATCTATATATTAGATATATTATTATATATATAGGGTTAGGTTCTATGGAAAACAAAAAACCCGAAAAAAAACCCTCAAAATCATCAACATGCATAAAAAAAATACTTAGCGATCACAAAAAATATTTTTGAATTTTTTTATCCAAAAATCGCAGGTTTTTGTTAAAATTCGCTGAAAAAAAACAAAAAATCAATTATTTTTTTTTTTGTAAAAAAAAAAAAAAATTTCAAAATTTTTTCACCGATTTTGTATAAAAAGCTGCGATTTTTTCAAAAGAATTTAAAAAAAAGTTTTGTGATCTCTAAGTATTTTTTATGCATTTTTATGATTTTTAGGGTTTTTTTGTTTCCAAATAACCCTTCCCTATATATATATATATATAAATATATATTATATATATATATATATATATATATATATATATATATATATATATATAATATATATATATATATATATGCAACTCGGTTGAAATATGTAATAAAAAGTATGTTATGGTTTATAAAAAATGTATATACGAATTAATTACCGTTTTGCAAAGTGTGAAATAGTTGCGCGGTAGATGAACTTCGACCCTTTAATACGATAATTTTATTTTTTGCTTTCCGGTTATCCAAATATAATTTCCTTTGTTTCGCCGCTCTTTAGCAGAAATAGAATTCATGTTATTCTAAGAAGTTATATAAGAAAATAAGTTAAGTATGAGTGTTATAAGATTGTTATATAATTTTATAAAGGATGATTGAAATTAAATATGTGAATTTCGTTTTTTTCATAGTATCTAATATAAGTGGCAGATGTGTTTGAATTCTTAATTATAATAAAATAGCATCTTTATTTATACACCACCTCCCCCTTTTTTCATAAAAGTCTTACTAAACCTTATTACAAAATCGATTGTAATTTCAAAAAGCCTCTTTATAAGCAACATTAGATAAGACAACATACAAACCATGTGAAAAAAACATGGTATTTGAGAAACAAACCAAAATTCGATATCAACTGTGGTGATTTTTATTAATAGTCATTTCAAATACAAAGTCCACAAGAATTTGTCTTTTTTTGACTTTGAACGATCGAATCGATGTAGAAGAGAAATTAATAATTTTTATATTATCCAAATAAAATTAATTAATATTTTCTTTTTCTTAGATAAATAAATTATATTAGTGTTTTCTGAAAAAAAAAACTAATTACTATATAAAATTAATATAACACATAATAAATTATATACAATTTCTACAAGATGTTAATTAATAATTAGTGGTAGACGACAATGTATAACATGTTAATTTTAAAAGTATTAAAAAAATATTACCGACATGTATTATATGTTTTTTAGGGTGTAATACATAATGTTTTCTAAAAAATAGGTAAGAAAGGGATATATACACTGAAGTCCCAATATTTTCATCGATTTGACAATAAAATCCTAAACTTTATTTTTTTGACAGTAAAATCCAAATTACCGGCAATTTTTGACTCTTTTACCCTTTTTTCGTTTTCCGGTTAGCGGTAATTAGGACTTTTTGTCAAAAAATAAAGTTTAGGACTTTCTTGTCAAATTGTCAATTAGGACTTTACTGTCAAAAAAATAAAGTTCTGGACTTTCTTGTCAAATCGTTGAAAATAGTGGGACTTTAGTGTATATATCCTTTTTATTTTGTTAGAAATTTAATGGTATGATACTCTTTAAGCATAAGAGTTATTGAAACTTTCTCTAGTCGGGTAGATCCTATTGAAATTCTTAACATTTGCTTCTTGTTAAATCGTTTTTCTAATCTCAACAAACTGACATTGAAAAAATTGAGATAATCAAGAAAGAAAGAAAGAACCAGGGTTGTGTTGGCTTTTTGCAGTCCCAAAAATAGAGAAATAAGAAATCGAAAAAAGCGAAATTGCCCTTTTTTTTCAATATCGGTTTGTTGAGATTAAAAAAACCATTTAACAAGAAGCAAACATTAAGGATTTAAATAGGATCTACCTGACTAGAGAAAGTTTCAATAACTCTTATGCTTAAAAAGTATCATACCATTAAATTTCTAACAAAAAAAAAGATATATACACTAAAGTTCCAATATTTTCAACGATTTGACAAGAAAGTCCTGAACTTTATTTTTTTGACAGTAAAGTCCTAATTGATGATTTGACAAGAAAGTCCTAAACTTTATTTTTTTGACAAAAAAGTCATAATTACCGGATAACCGGAAAAAAAGGGTAAAAGTGTCAAAAATTGCCTGTAATTTGGACTTTACTGTCAAAAAAATAAAGTTTAGGACTTTCTTATCAAATCAATGAAAATATTGGGACTTTAGTGTATATATCCCTAAAAGAAATGTACAAGTCTAACGATTACAACATTTTTGATTGAAATATTATTACATATATTATTACATAATCAAATATATATATATATATATATATATATATATATATATATATTTATATATATATATATATATATATATATATATATATATAATACCGTATGATATTTTTTTTCATGTTTTTTAATATTAACAATATAAAAGAAATTTTACAGAACACATAATCTGATAAATTGTCTCATCAACACAAAACACAAACAAAGAAAATAACAGCCTTTTATTTTCGTAATATCCAAACTTATTTTGTAAATAATCGTTGTCAAGTTCTCCAAATACAAGTTTTGGTTGTGCAAGGTGCAGTTGTTGGGGCACATTGTCAACCAGAAGAGTATATTGGTAGATCCGGGCAAGATCGAGACCATAATACGATGGGAGGTTTCGAGAACCACATCTGAGATTCGGAGTTTTATAGGTCTCGCGAGGTATTATCAGAGATTTATCCAGGATTCCTCCAAGATTGTTGTTCCATTGATCCGCTTGACGAAGAAGAATGTTAATTTTCAGTGGGGGCCTGATCAACAGTTGGCTTTTGAGACGCTGAGTAACAGATTATGTGAGGCCCCAATTCTCATGCTTCCGGGGGGCATGGATGATTTTGTAGTCTAATGTGATGCGTCCATCTTGGGTTTGGGAGTTGTCCTCATGTAAAAGGGCCATGTGCTTGCTTACGCTTCGAGACAACTGAAGCATCATGACGCGAATTACCCTATGCTTGACTTGGAGGTGGCGACTATGGCTTTTGCCCTCAAGATTTGGAGGCACTATCTGTATGGGGTCAAGTGTACTATTTACACTGAGCATAAGAGCTTGAGGTATCTGATGGATCAGCCAAATTTAAATATGAGGCATCGGAGATGGTTGGATGTGGTAAAAGATTATAATTATGAGATCATGTATCTGTTGGGTTTTATGTACTTTAACATTCCTATGGTGCACATACAACCATAATGCTTTGGATCTAAGTTTTCTCTAATTATACATATAATATTGGTTTCCAAAGCATGAAGCCTAAACTAGCATACAAAATTTATCATATGAATCATAAAACAAGTTAGAAAGTTACCTCTTGATGTAGCTAGTAAGACTTTGGCCTTGAGAGAACTTAGCACCCCAAGTGTTGTGCCTTAAACAAGTCACAAACACCAATAAACAACTAGATGGATATGAGAGAGGCTAAGGAGACTAAAAACCGATTTCACTTCTTGGAATACAAGTAGTAGTCGATTTTAGGGCTTAGCACAACATATATATATATATATATATATATATATATATATATAATATATATATATATATAGATATATATATATAGATATATATATATTATGGTGTGTTGTGTGTGTGTGTGTAGAATATCAAGGGTCATGTGTAACCCTAATCCATACACATTAGCCCATGATCCATCCATTTTATTTGGATAAATACTTCATAGATTAACCCATAAGCCCATCACAAATCAAACCATGGATCATTAGCCCAACTCATATGTATCAATTTAATTAGTCTCTTTTGATCACTAAATTAATTCTTAATTAACTCTTGATCAATACTAATTAAATAATATGATTCCTCAATTAATATATTATACATATAATATATTAATAAATCATAAATAACATCTTACTCAAATATCCATCTATCAAATTGTTCTGGTGAAGGCAACCCGAAATGGATCATGCTACTATCGGGTCAAGTACTAACCAATTATAGTTATGAGCTTAGACACCTAATCCAACAGTCTCCCACTTGGATAAGTCTAATAACTATAATTGTCAATGGAACTTAAAATCCAATTAGCAATCGTAGCTCTCAAAAAGCCGTTGTCGAACTCTAAACAAATCAAACTACGCGTCCATTAGATAAGAGATCATATATTCCTCCATTCTACAAGATATCGTATGAACTGAGACATGGATTATAATCATTCTCTCTGTTCATGTGTTGTTTCCCGATTTCTGATTTATGACGACTAACTAATTGAAAAAATCAAATCAGTCTAGGCTTGGCCAAGCGCTTAGTGTTGTCA